ACAGGGTGCCTGAATGAAACGTAATTGTACACCTAACCCTTAACTGTACACCACAAAACCATAATAAAAAATATTGATTTAATTTAAAAAAATAGATCATACACCATATATAAGACCCCTATCTATCACCATACACAAAAATCAACTCTAAATGGATCAAATACCTAAATGTAAAACCTCAAACTATAAGAACCTTAGAAGATGCAGGAGACACCCTTACGGAAACTGAAACTGGCAACCAATTCCTGATCAAAATCCCAAGTACCCATGCCATAGAGATAAGATAGACAAGTGGGGCCTTATCAAACTGAAAAAGCTTCTGCAAAGCCAAAGAAACCATTAAGAGAGCAAGGAGTCAGCCCACAGACTGGGGAAAAATATTTGCCAACCATATATCTGACAAAAGCCTAACATCTAGGAACTACAAGGAACTCAAACATTCCAAGAAGAAAAAAACAAAGTCCTGTTAAAAAGTGGGCAAACGATATGAACAGATACTTCTGAAAAGAAGATATACGAGCAGCCAACAGATACATGAAAAAATGTTCAGCCTCACTAATCATCAAAGAAATGCAAATTAAAACTACACTGAGATGCCACCTAACTCCAGTCAGGATGGCCATCATCAATAACTCAAAAACAACAGATGCTGGAGAGGATGCAGGGAAAAGGGAATACTTCTACATTGCTGGTGGGAGTGTAAACTAGTACCAACCTCTGTGGAAAACAGTGTGGCGATTTCTAAAATATCTAGAAATTGATCTCCCATATGACCCAGCAATCTCCTTTCTGGGAACATACCCAGAGGAACTCAAATCATTCTATAAAAAAGATAACTATGCATTCATGTTTATTGCAGCACTGTTCACAATAGCAAAAACATGGAACCAACTGTACTGCCTATCGAAAGTAGACTGGATAGAAAAAATGTGGTACATATACACGATGGAATATTATGCGTGGAATATTAAGAAGGACAAGGTTATGAACTTCGCAGGAACTTGGATGGATTTATAGTCTGTGATACTCAGTGATCTAACACAGAGACAAATAACTGAGTACCACATGTACCAAGCGGACCCTAAACAATTATCATAATACTACAAGAAAGGGATTGGGAGTAGTGGGAGACTGCTGGGGTGCGGGGGGAACACACTTTATCAATAAAGTTATCTGATCTCAAACCAGGTGAAGTGGGGACCAAAGTGAGGGCCAAACTTTACCTGTACAATGATCATTTGTATACCTAACCCAGAATTGTACCCTACATCTTTAAAAAAAAATTTTTTTTAAGAAAAAATGTTCAACATCACTATTATCAGGGAAATGCAAATCAAAACCACAAAGAGATACTATCTTACCTCAATTAGAATGTCTATTATTAAAAAGAAAAAAAAAAAACAGATGCTGGAGAGGATGCTGAGAAAAGGGAAATTTAATACACTGTTGGTGAAAATGTAAGCCACTATGGAAAACCAGTATGGAGATTTTCAAAAATAGAACTACCATATGATTCAGCAATCTTACTGCTGAGTATTTATCCAGAATAAAAGAAATCAGGACATCAAAGGGAAACCTTCACTCATATGTCTACCACAGCACTATTCACAACAGCAAAGCTGGAACAACTAATTATTCATCAGTGGACATATGGATAAAGAACATGTAATATATATACAATAAAATACTTTCAGTCATAAAAAAGAATGAAATCTGGCCAATCTCTACAAAAAAATAAAACATTAGCTAGGCATGGTGGTGTGCGCCTATAGTCCCAACTTCTTGGGAAGCTGATGTGGGAGGATCACTTGAGCCTGGGAGTTTGAGGCTGCACTGAGTTATGATTGTGCCACTGCACTCTAACCTGGGTGAGACCTTGTCTATAAAAAAAGAAGAAAAAAGACAAGGTTGTTTAGGGACAAGAAATTCTTCTCTGGGAAATATTTTTGTTATGTTTTGCTTTTGTTTATTAATCGATGGACTCTTCAAGAATATTTTCATTTGTATTGATATATAATATTTTACATATTTTTTCCATGCATAAAATGTGTAATGATCAAGGCAGGGTATTTGGGGTGTCCATCACCTTGAGTATTTATGATTTCTGTTTGTTGGGAACATTTCAAGTTCTCTCTCTAGCGACTTTGAAATATATAATACACTGTTACTAACTATAGTCACCCTACTCTGCTATGGAGCATTAGAACTTATTTCTTGGCCGGGCATGGTGGCTCACGCCTATAATCCTAGCACTTTGGGAAGCTGAGGCAAGAGGATTACCTGAGCTCAGGGGTACGAGACCAGCCTGAGCAACATAGTGAGACCTCATCTCTACAATAAATGTTTTTTAAAAAATTAGCCAGGTGTGGTGTCGCACACCTGTAGTTCCAGCTACTTAGAAAGCTGAAGCAGAAAGATAGCCTGAGCCCAACAAGTCAAGACTGTAGTTGCCATGAGAATGCCAATGCCTGGGCGAGAGTGAGACTTCAACTCAAAAAAAAAAAAAACAAAACGCACTTATTCCTTATATCTGTGTTTGTACCCATTAACCAATCTTTTTTATCCCACCACCCTCCCCGCCCCAAACTCTTCCCAGCCTCTGGTAACCATCAAACTCTTCCGTGAGATCAAGTTTTTTAGTTCCCACATATAAGTGAGAACATGCAAAATTTGTCTTTCTGTGCCAGCCTTATTTTATTTAGTATAACGTCTTCCAGTTCCATCCATGTTGCTGCAAATGACTGGCTTTCTTATTTTATTTTTTTACAGAAACTGGGTCTCACTACGTTGCCCAGGCTGGTCTCCAACTCCTAGGTTCAAGCAATACTCCTGCCTCAGCCTCCCAAAGTACTAGGATTACAGTTGTGAGCCACCGTGCCTGGCATCTTTTTATCCTTTAACAGATTTTTCATTAAATATTTAATCAAACATAAATAAAAATTTTAAATGCAATTAGAGTAAACAAGAAATTTTATAAACACTAAAATATACAATTTTGTCTCTCATGCATCCACTAACACAACGAAGATAAGTGAACATCTGCCTAGGCAACATAAGACCTCCTATTTATAAACAGTCAAAAAGCCGGGCTAGGTGGCTTAGCCTGTAATCCCGCGCTTTGGGAGGCTGAGGTGAGTTAATTGCCTCAGCCCACGGGTTCGAGACCCACCTGGGCAACTTGGCGAGACCTCATCTCTACAATAAATCAAAAACTAGCTGGGCGTGGGAGCGTGTACCTGTAGTTCCAGCTACTTGGAAGGCTGAGGCGGAAGGATCGCCGAAGCCCAGCAGGTCGAGGCTGCAGTGGTCGGGAGCATATCACTGCATTCCAGTCTGGGCAACGGAGTGAGACTCCAACTCAAAAAAAAAAAAAGTCAAAAAAGTAGCCAGGCATGGTGGCATGCTGCCTGTAATCCCAGCTACTCAAAAGGATCACCTGAGCCTAGGAGGTGGACACTGCAATGAGCTGTGATCAGGCCACTGTACTCCAGTCTGGGCAACAGAATGAGGCCCGGATTCGAGGATAGATAGATAGATAGATAGATAGATAGATAGATAGATAGACAGACAGACAGACAAACAATCACATTCCCACAAGGATTCCTTGTATTGAATGGTCGGATTCAAATAACTAAACATTTTCCATGTATGCTTTCTAAAAGAAGGGAAAACTCATGTACTCACCCATCTGGCTAGGGCTTCTTTGATTGTTGTTGCTTTTGCCTAAAAAAAGAAAAGAAAAGAAAAGAAAGAAAGAAAGAAACAGAGAAATAACAAGTCTTTCTTTGTAATTTCTTTAAGCAATTTTCATGCAAGAATTACTAGCCTTGCTTTCTACCATTAAAGGATTACTTTATTTCTTCAAGACTATATGCAAAGAGGATGTTTTATTTTTCTGAAACCAGTATAATTTAACTATCTCTCAGATAAAATAAGACAATCATTATGTAATACTCACATACTTCATCCCACTTGGTTTAAAAAAATGGCTTTCCACACTTATTAGTAAAATATATCTTATTTCATTGATTCTAAAAGCTACATCTTTTTTACACTTTAACACTGAAATGCGGATGTATCTTACAATCAGAAAAAATGTACAATTGCTGGGGCCAGATGGCAGTGATAATGTTTTAGAAAAATATTAACCATTTTATCTCATATACACATATTCCTTTTTGTTTGCATAAGATGGCACAGGATAAAAATCTTTATGTCTAAATACATTTAAAATAACTCTATCAGTAAGTACAATATAAAAATAATGTATTGCCGGGCTCGGTGGCTCAGCCTGTAATCCCGCGCCTTTGGGAGGCTGAGGTGAGTGGATTGCCTGAGCCCGCGGGTTCGAGACCCACCTGGGCAGGCGAGACCTCATCTCTACAATAAATCAAAAAAATTAGCCGGGCGTGGTAGCGCACACTTGTAGTTCCAGGTACTTGAAAGGCTGAGGTGGAAGGATCACCAGAGCCCAGCAGGTCGAGGCTGCGGTGGCCGGGAGCGGCCACTGCACTCCAGTCTGGGCGACAGTGAGACTCCAACTCAAAAAATAAATAAATAAATAAATAATGTATTTGTCATAGTTCAATTCCAACTTTTCTTTCTTAGTAGATCATAAAATAACGTAGCACTTTGTAATAAATAGCATCTTGGAATCAGTTTAATATGATATTTAAAACTTTAAAGGTGTACAAAGGGAGATATCCTTAATGACTTATTGCTGGTGCTTATTTAAAAAAAAAAAAACCCAAACAATAACAAAAGGAAATTTTAAAAGTACGTGAACAAATGTGAACCTGAAAGAGTTGATTCTTCAAAATGGATCCCGAGCAGTTAACTGGACTTAAACTTAACATACAGCCACACAACCATTTCTTGAATAGAGGTCACACACTGACTTTGAGTTATCCCAAACCCCACACCTCTATCCAACTCCAGGACTTCCAGAGCTCATCTGAACCAATCAATCAGAGTTTGCCTGAACCAACCCATCAGGGGTCAACTGCCTTGACCAATCAAGGCTGAGCTGTATCAACCAAGTAAAACTAAGCAAGTTTAAATCCTTCACTTGCATAAATGAATCCGATTGGGAACCTTGGCGGGAACTTTTATTATAAAACTGTAATTTTTTTTTGTTCTCTGTAACACACTTTCGTTTTGCAATGAAGGCTGCAACCTCCTCAGTTTTCAAATTATTCACTGGGTCAGGCATGGTGGCTTACGCCTGTAATCCCAGCAGTTTGGGAGGCAGAGGCAAGAGGATTGCCTGAGCCCGGGATTTGAGACCAGACTGGGCAACTTGGTGAGCCCTCGCCTCTACAATAAATCAAAAAATTAGCCAGGCGTGATGGCATGCACCTGCAGTTTCAGCTACTTGGAAGGCTGAGGTGGAAGGATCGTCTGAGCCCAATAGGTGGAGTCTGGTGGCCGTGAGCCTGCTACTGCACTCCAGACTGGGTAACAGAGTGAGACCCCAACTCAAAAAAAAAAAGTTTTCATTGGAATAAAGTCTGTCCCCACCAAATTCCTTTTGAGAGAATTTCTGTTCACAAATATATACCATTTTGTCTAGAAAGTAAAGACATACTAACAACCTTTGGGGGTTTTTAAAAGTATAAAATAAATTAAGACCAAAAAAAAGTTAAAATTTGAGTAACAGGACACTAAGAAGGAAACTTATAGTTTCAAATACATTTGTCAAAAAAACAAATGAGAAAACAAATGAGTGAGGCATTCAAGACATCTGCAAAAATACATCATTGCAAACTCAAAGAAGGCACAAGAAAACACAAAAGAAGAAGTCAATTAAAAAAAAACAACAGAACAAGGGGGAAAGAAGATTAACAAAACTAAAAGTTGGTTTTTAATTCTCTGGCAAGCCTGATAGAGAAAAAAGGAGAGAGATACAAATGAAAAATGTAGAATGATTACAAGCAAATAATTCAGACACCTCAGAGATTTTTAAAATGACATGTCAGAGCAAACATATGACAATAAGTTTTAAAACCTAGACAAGGTATGCACTTCCAGAAAAAAACATAAAAGTGTCAAAACTGTCAGATGAATCAGAAAATCTGCGTAGACCAGTACTATTTAAAACATTAATATAATCAAAGAGATACACCCTCATCCTCCCCCTAAAGCTCCAAGCCTAGATGGTTTTACAAGTGAATTCTATCAAGCTTTCAAGGGTTTTCCTTGTTATACAAGTTGTTTCAAAAACCAGGGAAAAAAAGAGAAAGCTGCCAACTTATTTTATCAGGCAGGTATAAACCTTGATGCCATAACCACATAAAGAGCATTCTTTACCTTTCAACACAGATTTGAAAATCCTAGATACAATATTAGATCTCCAGGGCTGGGTGAGAAGGCTCGGGCCTGCAATCCCAACACTTTGGGAGACCAAGGCAGGAGAATTGCTTGAGGCCAGGAGTTTAGGACCAGCCTGGACAACATAGCAAGACTATATATATATATATATATATATATATTTTTTTTTTTTTTTTTTTGAGAAAGCAGGATTCATTGAAAGGACAGAAAAGCTCCCATGGTGGGAGGGGACCCAAAGGGGTTGCCCAAGATCCTATATCTTAAAAAAAGTTTTAAATAAATAAAAAAGATTAGCTCTCCCAAGCCAATAGTGTATAATGACCATGATCAAGAATAGTTTCTCCCAAGAGCATAAGGAGCACAACAGAAATGGCTACAAATTTAATTAATTAATTAATGTACTAAAGGAGGAAAATCACATTTATTTCAATAAGTAATGAAAAAGCACTTGAAACAGTTCTACATCTGATATTAAAAGGTCTCAGCAGCCAGGTGCAGTGGCATGTGCCTGTAGTCCCAGTTACTTACTCGGGAGGTTGCAGCAGGAGGATTGCTTTATCACAGACATTCAAGGTCAGCCTGGGCAACATAGCAAGACCCCAGCTCTTAAAAAAATAAATACCCAGGCACAGTGGCTATGCCTATAATCCCAGCACCTTGGGAGGCTGAGGCGAGAGGATTGCCTAAGCTCAGGGGTTTGAGACCAGCCTGCGCAACTTGGCGAGACCTTGTCTCTATAATACATCAAAAAAATTAGCTGGGTATAGTGGTACGTGCCTATACTTCCAGCTACTTGGAAGGTTAAGGCGGAAGGATCGCCTAAGCCCAGCATGTTAAGGCTGAGGGGGCCGTGAGCATGCACTGCACTCCAGCCTGGGCAACAGAGTAAGACTCTGACTACAAAAAAAAATTATATACCAAAACTCTATAACAAACATCATATTCAAAGGAGAAATTCACTTATGTCAGCAAATATTAATTATCCATTATATAACAAGCATTCTTCTTTGTGTTTAGAATATATCAATGAACAAAGCAAAGATCCCTGCTTTCACATAACTTACATCTATTGGAGGGAGAAGATGGTAAAAAATATATACAGTCTGCCCTCCATATCCTCAGGTTTCACATCCACAGATTTAACTAACCACAGATGAAAAATATTTGGAAAAAAATTTAAAAATTTTTTTAGCAATTAAAAAAATATAAACAATAGAAAACAATACAGCAATTAAAAATAATATAAACAATAGAAAACAATACAGCATAACAACTATTTACATAGCATTTACATTGTATTAGACATTATAAGCAATCTAGAGACGATTTAAAGTATATGGGAAGATGTGCATAGACTATATGCAAATATTATACCATTTTATATAAGAGACTTGAGCATCCATGGATTTTGGTACCCCTGAGGGTCCTGGAACCAAACCCCATGGATACCTATCGAGGGAGGACTGTATACAATAAATAGGAAAATAATACAGCATATTAGAAGGTAATAATTACTAAAGAAAAAGAAAACATTGAGGTTGGTAAGGGGTATCAGGAAGTACATATATGTGTGTGAAAGATGCTCATTTTAAATAAGAGGGTCAAGTTGGGCCTAATAGGGAAGGTAACAGTCAATATATTCCTTTTAAAATCCCAAACACATCAAGAATGCTCACTATAACTGCTATTCTTTTTTTTTTTTTTTTTTGGGTTCGAGTCACACTCTGTCACCCAGGCTGGAGTGCAGTGGCATGCTCACAGCCACCACAGCCTCAAACTGCAGAGCTCAGGCGTCCTTCCACCTCAGCCTTCCAAGCAGCTGGAACTACAGGTACGTGCTACCACTCCTGTCTAATTTTTTATTTATTGTAGAGACAAGGTCTTGCCAAGTTACCTGGGCTGGTCTCGAACCCCTGGGCTCAGGCAGTCCTTTCACCTTGATGCCCCAACCAAAATGCTGGAATTATAGGCTAGAGCCACCGGCCCAGCTATTCCTTAACATGATACAAGAGATCTTTATCAATATTATAATAAAAAGAAATACAAATTGGAATGATTAAAAGGAGAAAGTAAAACTGTCACTATATGCAGGTGATCATCTATGTAGAAAACACAGTAGAATAAACTGACAAATATTGGAGCAAGTGGTGTCATCAAGTGAAGAAGAGCACCACAGACAAAGCTACCAACAAAACTGGAAGAACATATTTTCAATATGAAACCAACAAAGGGCTAGTATCTAAAATATACAAACAACTTGTAAAAATTTAAAAAGAAAAATGAATAAATTGGCAAAAATATGAACAAATAATTCACAGAAACTGAAACTTCAGTGACTAACAAGGATATCAAGAGGTGTCAGAATTCACTGAAAATCAGAAAAATGCAAAGTGAAGCAATGGGATACTAAAATACTAAAATCCTCAAATTTGCAAAAGGTAGAAAGCTGATAAGCATGTAGAGAAATGGGAATTCTCATACATTGCTCGAGGAAGTAAAAACTGGTCAAGTCATTCTGGAAAGCAGTCTGAAAGTGCCATAGGGAAATCAAGTATGCACAGACTTTATCATGAAGCGACTCCACTCCTGAGTGTAATTCTGGATCCATTAAAAGGCACTTTCACATTAAGGACACAGAGTTGGAAGCAATCTAGCTATCTACTGTGATACACTGGTATCAGGTCATTGGTTCCACCATAGATAAATCTGGAATCAAAACATCATTAATGGGTAAAGCTGGCCAAAGAAGGACAGAGCCCACGTAAAGAGGATAACTTCATAATAAAGAGGACAGCTGACAGGTGAGACTTGGGGAGTCACCCTAATATCAAAGTTCTTCAAATATAAAAACTCCATTAACTGTTAACACCCTTATTTTATGTACCATTAAGAAAGAAAAAGCCGGGCTCGGTGGCTCAGCCTGTAATCCCGTGCCTTTGGGAGGCTAAGGTGAGTGGATTGCCTGAGCTCACGGGTTCGAGACCCGCCTGGGCAGGCAAGACCTCATCTCTACAATAAAATCAAAAACTTAGCCGGGCATGGTAGCGCGCGCCTGTAATTCCGGCTACTCGGAAGGCTGAGGCGGAAGGATCGCCGGAGCCCAGCAGGTCGAGGCTGCGGTGGCCGGGAGCGGCCACTGCACTCCAGCCTGGGCGACAGAGTGAGACTCCAACTAAAAAAAAAAAAGAAAGAAAAAAGAAAAGATGGCCGGGCTCGTTGGCTCAGCCTGTAATCCCAGCACTTTGGGAGGCCGAAGCAAGTGGATTGCCTGAGCCCAAGACTGGTTCGAGACCAGTCTGGGCAAATTGGTGAGATCTCATCTCTACAATAAATCAAAAATTAGTGGGGTGTGGTAGCGCATGCCTGTGGTTCCGGCTACTCAGAAGATTGAGGCAGAAGGATCGCCTGAGCCCAGCAGGTCGACGCTGGGGTGGCTGTGAGCGCGGCCTGGGCGACGGAGTGAGATGCCAACTTGAAGAAAAAATAGAAAGATGCTACCAATTATATGACACTGTATCCCAGCAATACTAAAATGTGAAAAAAAAAGTATGTCCAAAGACAACACATGCTATTTCTGATTTGTCAGAGAAGCCAGAAACCTGGGTTTTAGTGTGAGATATGATATTAAGGCATTAGAATTATTTTTTAATGTCAATATTTATGTGGTCCTCTATTTCTGAAGGGCCCCAAGTCTACCAGTTTGCAGACGTTTGGTGAATGGTGGAAAACATATATGACAGTGGTCCTATAAAATTAAAATTCCATTTCTTTTTACTGTACCTTTTCTATGTTTGGATACACAAACACCACTGTGCCACCGTTGCTTCCAGTATCCAGCACAGTCCCATGCTGTGCAGGTGTGTAGTCTAGGCTACACCATACATCCTAGGTGTGTTCAAACGCACTCTAGGATGTGTGGATGACAAAATCGTCTAACGATGTGTCCCGTCATCTTTAAGCGACGCGTGACTGTATTGGGTGGTTCTCTGTTTGAAGATTTTCAATAATCCCCATGGTCATACTTTCATAATTATTTAGGTCTGAGTCTTTCTTCACCTGAATATAAACCAAGGTTCCAGAACTTTTAACTTTCCCTGGCAGTGGTGTTCAGCTATCTGCCTGTGGAATAAAGGAAAGCTACTTTTAAAAGAAGGGTATTTAATATTGTGGTCGAGGGCAGGCATGACTTCCTCATCATTTCAATCTCCTGGGAATCACAAAAAGAAGACGACTAAGTATGCTTGTCCTTCACAAGCATCTGCATCCTGCGCCACTCGGCCACCCAGCTTGGGCGGGGTCTGCGACCCTGCCTGCGCCTCGCCGGAGCCGGGACAGGAGGCAGGCGCGTGCGCACTTGAAGAGCCGGCGCCTCCGAAGGCCGGCCCCGCTTCCCCGCGCCCGCGTGGACCGCCGTGGACCTCGAGTCGGGCAGCGGCGCGGCTCAGCGCTCGGGGCCCCGG